AAAAAGCTTGTGAATGAATAAAAAAAAAAAAAAAAAAAAGTAATCACACAATCAAGGTGAGTTTGACCTGAATGACAATAGTGGGGATTTATGCACCGTATTTTCCAGACTATAAGCTGCATGTTTTAAATTTCTCTGGCTGATCATTGGCTGGTCAATACGACAGGTGTGACTTATTTGTCTTTTGACAAATTTTTTGACCTGTGCAGCTTGTAGTCTTGAAAATATGGTATGTATTTAGGCCTATTTGACGCGTGGATTAGAGAAAATCCACCAACAAACTGATTCGTAAGGAGTTTTTAAACTCTTCAGCAAAGATTCAATAAAAAAAAAAAAAGATTTAAAATCTGAATTGTTGACGTGATTTTCATGCTTAGATACGGACGTTAGTCTATTTTATCGACTTTAATAGTTTAACACGTACTTGTTTCAGATAGGGGTGCACTGATTGCAGTTTTACCAATTTTGACCCACCAATTTCAATGTTGGCCTACACCAATTTTTTTTAGACCTTACACTGTGATAGAGTCGCCAAGTTGACAACAGTGGGGTGATAATTGTTAACTTAGTAATTTATCAATTATTTTCAGACCTTTGTGGAGGCAGATCACATCGGTTCCACATGTAACCATCAGCCGATTAAGGAAATCAATCAGCAGGTCGATTATTGGTAACCCCTTGTTTCAAAGTTAGGGGTTTAGAAACACAACAAACTACAAAAAGCTGTAATGGGTGACTCAAATAACTAAGAATGTAACTTAAAAAAGAAAGTAAAGCACAGTTAACTGCATTTTCTCCAGAAGATTGAGCAAACGCTCCAGGGAACGGTTTGAGTCATTTCCTGTAAAATGGTCTGAGTAGCTTTTTAAAATTTAATTTAGCATCTTAAATTAAGCTCCACCCCCACACTGTACGATGGGTAATAAAAACACGTCATCTTTCCTGTGTTCTGCAGACGAGTTGAAACATCCTACTTATAATTGCTCATGTTCTTGATCACAATGGCAATGTGTCAATCCAGGATTGTTTTGTGTCAAAACTTTTGATTTGAAAAAGAAAAATCAAAACCAATGACGAGGCTTAAATACATCCAACACTTAAGCCTTTCTGTGACTCTGCATGTATAAAAACCAGAAAAGGTGAGCTAGAGGGCGTTGTTGTGGTTCTGCCATTAATACGTCTCTGCAGTAGTAGTAGTCGCAGGGCCATATTGGTGAGCATATGTAAAATGAGATATGGCACGTGCAGCACTCCATTCGAACTAATAATGCTGTTGAGACTCGGAGAGCTCCGCAGCAGCAGCGCTCATTAACGTGGTGCTGCGCAGCCTGTTCTGTGGATAACTAAGGGGAAACAGCGGCAGCCTAATGAAAATGTCCCATTTGCCCAAGAAAGTGCAACAAATGTGTAAAAAGGGCCAAACATGCCCTTTAATCACACTAGAGACAAAAAGCCAATGTTCCTAGCTCAAACGTACTGCAGGAATGTAATTTAAGTAAAATCATGCAGGAAAAATTAAAGGTTGGTAATATTTAACAGCCTCCATTATTGATATGATTTATATATTTTTGTTTGCGTCTACTTTACTTTCTCTAGAACAGTCATCTAAGCGATTACAGAGCATTTAACATGCTAGTCCACTCAGCACTGTGCTTCCTATATCATCAACGGTATCAAATATCTTCTGTTGACTATTACAATACATCCCGTATTCACACTATAGAGGGTTTTGCACACCACTCACCTGTGTTTTTTGGGGCTTCCCCATACATGGGTCCAGGAGGGGGTCCACCCTGCCAGGCATACTGTGGCTGGCCTGGATACCCCTGGAACGGGGGCTGATCTGGGCCAGGATAGGGACCTCCAGGACCCCCTGGACCAGCGGGGTAGTTAGGGTAGGCCGGGTTAGGCTGGTCCATGTTCACTGGGTATCCCTGTGGAGGATAACCTTGGGGTGGGTAGCCCTGAGGAGGTGGGCCCTGCCCTGGGTAGCCTGGAGCAGAAGGTCCACTGCCTGGGTATGGAGGCGGCTGCTCAAAATTCATCTCTGGGCTGAAGAGTCACTGTTTAAAAATAAGACAAAATAACTTTTTAGTCCACACTTAGTACAAATTACCACCACAAAATTCGGTGTCTCTTCGGGATTCTATGTGATAGGTCGACACATAGTCGACCGTAAATATAAAGTGGGAGGAAAATGATACAAGACTTTCATCATGTTTTGTAAGTAAATGTTTGAACAGTGATGCTGTTACTGCTGCATGTCGAAAGAAGAAAACCACTAGAAGTCCAGCCCAGCATTAAAATTTAAGGGACTCAGAAAACAGGTAACACACCATCCCCATTAAGAAACACAGTAGTGGCCACATCATGCTGACTTGATGCTTTTCTCTGTCCAGTTAGAGTTAGAAGCTGCAGAAAACTAAAGACTAGGTCCAGTTCCAGAGGGATTTAGCTGGGGTTGCTGTGGCTGACTGTGGGGTCACACGGTAAACAGGCTTTTTATTTAATAAAATACACAAACATTTGTGTAACCTTTCAAGTAAAATAACCAGGTTGCTTAATAATACAAGCACAGTGATGGAAACGGCGACATTTACATGTTTCACCAAAAAATGCTGAGTAATTACAGTCATATTAGAATAAACTTTAGTTCATGGACAGCAGAAGTCTATCCATGGGTCTTCATTACTAATCCAATGTTTCTGATCTCTGACGTCCATTTCTATCCGGTCAGTTAAACATCCCATGCAAAAAGTCAGAAACGCCTGAATGGACTGGACTTGTTTTTTAATGTGGCAGGTTTGAAACTGAAATTAACAAACTCAGCATACAAACAAGAATGCAATAATTTTTCCTTAATATAAAATTTGAACGTATCCTACTACAACATTATAAAATAAATGTCCATTGCAAAATACTGTAAATAATTCCACTTTAAATTCAATCTGTTATCCAATTATGAATTTAGTTGGGACTTACAAGGAATACTTCTTAATCTGACCACAGATACAGAACACGACACCTTGCTGTATCAGTCTCTTGTGACATACTCTGCTATCTCTGTAACACACTGGCTGAACATTATTTCCTAGTTTTCTTAAAGGGCCAGCACACCCATTTAAACTAATGACAGAGCCTGAACAGAAACAGTATGCTGCTGCCTGTGCTAGATGCCATACAGGCAAAACATATTGTGGGGTGTGAATGAGAGAGTAATCCTGAAATGTCTGTAAAAACCCTGTCCTTGTTACCGCTCTGGTTTTTCCTCCAACAGACGTTTTCTTTTCTCAGCAGGCTCTAATTTCTCCTCACGCGAGAACACCCTGAGTCATTGTCCCTTCTGCTGGCCTCCGCTCTGATGTCGCCTCCCTTACTTTGCTCTATTGTAACAAAAAAAAAAAGGTAACTTCTCTTTCCACATAGTTCTACACAGAAATGAAAAAAAATATTGTTTATTCCTGGCAATAAATTACCAGCAAGGGATGCAACATGGATAACAAAATCAGTAAGCTTGTTACGAATATTAGCATGACATAACGGCGTGTGTTAACGGGTAATCATTTAGCTAACATTATTTGAATCCAACAGCATAACTTGATTCAATAAAAAAAAAGGAGTATTGATCTGCAGGACAAATTAAATGTTGCAACCCGTTAATTCAAAATTCTTCAGAGTGACTGTAGATGTTGAGAGATGGTGAGGAAAGATCTCCTGTAGCAGTCTGTATTACAGCCAATTTGAAGAAGCCTCTCACTAAAGATTCTGTCTCTTGAAGAGGATGCTAAAGGTCGTCTATAATTTTCTTGATTTTATGTAAAATCCTTCTTTCACCTCCCTTCACAAGTTGCATTTAAAGACGGCTCAGACATAACGCACAACAGATTAAACTGTTGTAGTGGATATGTCCTCAGTGTAGTCCATCTCGGCAGGACCTGGGTACCTGAGTGGGCGGGCCTGGCCCCCCAGTGGCATGCGCATTGGTGCAGAATCGGAATAAGACTGGGGTTCACACTCCAGCAGCACAATGATCCCAAACGCACAACAAAGAGCATTCTGGTGCTAAGTTAAAAGAGCCTAGTCAAAGTCAGGACCCAAATCCAATTACAAATCTGTGGCATTTTTGTTGTACCCACTCAGTAAATATCCAGCCAATCAGACTGTGAACTGAGCCATTTGGCAAAGAAGAATGGGCCAACATTTCAGTCTCTACCTGCTCAGAACTGGTTTTCTTCCACTTCACAAGTAAACACAACTTGGTGTTGGTCTGTGTTTAGGACAATTCTTTTGATAATTAGTGAGACACTGAGTCAATCAGAGAAATGAGCATTTGTTTTTAGGTATTTATTTTTGAATAATTAGAAATCAGGCTAGAGGGAGAGATGGAGAAGAAAGAGGAAGAAGAGGGAAGAATAAGTGAAACTTACAATTCTGCTTCCGTATCTTTTCAGTCACGTACACGGTGCCTTGCACCCGTCTCTCCCTCGTAGGGAGTTTTTCTTTGTTTCTCCCACTCTGATTAATTGGTACTTCTACCCCCAAATCAAACTCGGTTCAAAAGAGTTTTGGTTTTGATAAAGAGAAGAAAAACATCTCTGAAACTCCTGTTAACAGTTCCACAGGAAGAACACTGGCTCGGAAACCTTCATTATCAGTTCAATCTTCCCAGTAAATACGCCAAAGTTTTATTTTCCCAGACATCCGTCGCATCAAATCCCAATAAAATACAACTTATAGTTGTAAAGAACCAAATAGTCAGCGATAATATACATCACAAAACTACTAGATATTATTTTTTAAATCTGTTATAACGTCAAGCATTCTTATGCAAGACTGAGAGAGACATTATTTCACCTAGACCTACATTCTGCTGTAAACAATGGGAGTAGAGCAAACAGGAGTCTCAGCTGTCTCCGTTGCCCTTTCTTCCTGTAGGATGGTTAGGTAACCTCCAGAGACACATTAGGTAATGAATTCTCCTGAGCCCAGATAAGACATCCTACCATTCTCAGGAAGGGACAAAAATGATGAAACCGTTTCCCAAAACAGAAAAAGTACACATTATGATCACCGACCACCTTTCCTCTGACCAGTTCGTTCCTGCACAGAACGAAAACTCAGCCACATGCAGCAGAGAAAATCCCCGCAGATTGTTTTCATGACTGCCGAAGGCGTCTCACAGCTCAGTGGTCAATCACAACTGCACCAGAGATATGTACCATTAGCTTACGCTTCACAGAGACTCCAGCGTACAAAATGAGGCTGCTGAAATTAACCATAGGGAACAGAAGAGTTAAAAAAAGAATGTGACCATAGACGGCCTTCGCCGGTTGCACTTTCGCACCTCATTTTCCCTTTTTGTTCACACACAAATGTGAGAAGCCCAACTAGATCACACATTTCGCATTACGAGGGCTGTGTGAAACGTTGTGCAAATGAGGGAGAAAACTCAAACACGATTCCAGGTAAAGCTTTTTAATGTTTAAGCTTTTCTGAGTGAGTTCAATAAATACCTGAAGGCTTTTCATTCCACTTGAATGAAACGCCATTGTTCGAGTGGAACGAAGTTTGAAGGCAAGTGGATTTTTACAGCTAACCGGTAATGGCTTGTGATGAAACAGATCCGAAGCTCATCACGAGCCACCGTGATGTCCGTCGCCGCATTTACGTAAAACATTAACAATGGAAGAAATGGGGGTAGACGGAAATCTGAATCTCTGCCTCTCCTCTTGGGATTTCTTCAGCACGTTGTATGTACACTGTAAACACCTCCTGGTTATCTTAACCACCTGCTTTCTGTGTCAGGAGTTACATAAATAAAGATGCTGAAAGAAAACCTCTTATTCGTGTGTGTGTGTGTGTGTGTGTATTTGTTTTCTGCTTTGGAAAAATTAATACTGCCAATATTTAGGTCAAAGTACAGTTTCCAAGGACTCCTTACATATTATCAGCAACTAGTTTTATTGTGGCTATTGGGGAAATATGCCAAGATGATTGGTACAAAACATGCTTATCTCTTAAACACGGTACGTTTGTGAATCATGAACCGATGTAATGGAACACAGGCTTTGCATCGTGGTGCTTTATAATCAATGTTTGGAATAGGTATAGTGTTTATAAGATACAAAAACAAACATTTTCAACATGATTAAATTTCCTTTATCGCTGCAAAAAAAATAGTAAATCGTCACTGTTACACTAATGTTGTCTAGAACATTTATAAATTGTCGTTTTGACATTAATTGGAGATACACAACCACAAAATTGGAGTTGATTACCAATCTCTGATTGACGTCAATTCAGATTTCTCTATAAAACTATGATATGAAAAGATAAAATCATACAAAATATTCTCTCTAGCCGTTCTGCCTATGAGCGTTCATTATATATACACTAGGAGCCAAGGGAATTTTTAGATCATTGTATGCGAGTACAACAGGGCTTTACAAAATGAGTCAAAACTCGTGTTAGCATTTTATATTAAAAATAAAGACATCTTAGCACTCCTGGCATTACTAAAGCAGCAGTTTATGTGTGTATTCCCATGCTTGAAACTATTCTGAGATACATTTAGCCTTTATATCATTAGCTGAAAATCTCACTCTCTTTTGCAGCCTGAAAAAACTATGCAACATCTACAGTTGTGGTCAAAAGTGTACATACACTTGTAAAAAATCATAATGTTATGGCTGTCTT